TCGTTTAGAAAACTGTGTCTGACTGCTGAGGAAATCATGTTGCGTGACATGAACTAGACGAGTACGAAACCAATTAAATAGCAAAACAGAATGCCTTGATTCAAAAAAAAAAATATGTAGCTTGAACATTTCTTCATAAACTGCGTTAAGGGTCGCAAATTCTCGGAAGTTTAAAGTTTATGCAAATTATGTGCACTGTAATTTGACGCCTTGTCATTAGAATGTTGTTTTGGCAAAGGAGTTTATCATGATATTCGTTTTGGCTCTCTCGAACGAGATTATTCGCTCTCCAAAGGAGATATGACTCTTGAAAAGGATTTAAGATCGCAACACGGCAAAAATGTTCAGCTGCACAATTCACTCGGATCTCCACGACCCGTAAACGAACTTCGCACAATTTCTGTTAGGATGTGCAATGTAATCGCCATAAGTTGTGAAAAGACCTGGAAAATTCTGTGCAAACAAGTTCTCCATAAATGCGTGGACAGCTGTGCTGGATTCTTGAACCAAAATGGTTTAAACTCACAACTTGCGATTGGATCAGGAGGATACAAAACGAAGCAAGTAATGAAAAGTAATATCTAAGCGGAACTCTTGTGCTAAAATATCCTGATTCTTTGATTTGTCTTTATTGTGTCCATATACGCGTACTCGTAACGAAGCCCGAACGCTCTTGAGTTAGAGCGTCTAGTTTGAAATCAAATGTGTTCAAATGTGTTCCAGGCCAAAACAGGTTACTTGATCTTTCTGTGCCTTTCCACCAAGAGGTGCCTGAGAAGTGTGTTTACCACACGAAGGGTAGCCTCTTCTAGGCGTTCAGTTAGTTGGGGCGCAGCGCGAAAAACAGCTCGCGACAAAAGGAAGCGAAAGAGGGGAAGCGAGAGAACGCCTGTGGGCAAACTTAACGAAGGGAAAATCAGTCACCATTTCTGCCTTGTGTAGAAAATTCTGGATGTTTTGGCTTAAGACTTGCATGTTTTGTTTTTTTCCTTTTGCAACTGGAATGTGTTAGATTACTGCAAGGATCAAATGATATAGGGTTTCCCCATACATCTCTGACAGACAGACAGACAAGTCACAACAATGCCCCTTGCTCGCACCGTTTAGTGATATAAAAGAACGATACCGTCTCACTGAGCAAATGAAAATACTGATCTCCAGTTTCTAAACATTATACCCTTATTTACTCTTCGGCTCATTAGCACGTAACTGAAACGGAAAGATGTTCAGCGGTGATTATTGAGTGTAGCTAAGGGTTGCATAAAACGGAAGTTTGTTTTGATTTGGAAATACTTTCACTTTCTCCATGTTACTTCCACACCCAATATTCTCGCCACTCCCTCGCCTCTCTCTGCCTGCCACGTCAACATTTCGCACCATTACAAGAAAGGCTCGCTTGGCAACACAAAGAACTGTAAACCACGCTCGTATTGGGGGCATTCCAAACAAATTTTACAAGGCATCAAGCTGTGTCCTTCGGAAAGCCGTAGAAGCAAGGACGAACACGCATATAATTAGTATTCAAAAAAACAATGTGTACCGCAACATTTTTAATAACATTTCTAGTGTAAAACTGAGGGATTTCTTTCAATTATTCATTATGTTCCCATTTACAAAATACTACGGAAAGTTTTCCGACTGGTTACAGAAAATCTCCGACTGATTACAGATCATCAGCGAGCGAAGTTCACGATAGCTTGAAATTATAATTTGCATTAAGAAACCGTACAAGGTGTTGATAAACCCGTTTGTCGAAGTTCCAGCAGTTCTGCTGCGTCAGTCCCGAGTTAAGTCTAGAGTCCACCAAAACAAATAATTATTTCAGCATCTTGTGAGAAGTGATTTGAAATGTTCTAAAGACGAGCACCTAGATCAAAGATCACTGACAAGAAAGATACTTGAGGTTCGCAACTTGTCGCCTACATCAGAGCTATGCGTAAATAAGTTCGTTTAAGTAGTCTAACTAAGACACACAATAAAGAAAAATGAAGAAGAATTAAACTTGCTTGGAGGAGTGTTCAGCTCTGTCCTGGTCTTCAATGGACACTGAATCTTGCACGAAACCTCCAAGTTACGACCTTGCCATGGAATTTCCGAACGGCGCTTTGACTCCCACTTCCTGCGCGTCCTGAACCAAAGTGCACAAAGGACAACAGCAATTCAAAAGAAGATCGCTCACAAACGAGCCGTCGATTCCTTTCTGTTCACGGATCTTGCCTCGGATTTGCGTGGCAAACCACAGGTTTACTAATGGGACGAAGGTTATTATACCGCACATCAAACAATCATCGCCAACCGCCTCGGCTGTCTTGCCAAACGTATAGCACGGAGCGCAGTACGTCGTTAGACAAAGTGGAATATCACTGAGGCAGCCGCACAAACCATTGCTCCATTCCGTCGGCATCTTGCAAGTTGCAGGCAACAAACGCACTTCAAAATCAAGCGAGCGGAAAACTGTCTTCTCTCCACAGCAAGCAGTCACGGCAAATCAATTTACTACATGAAAATTTGCTACATTGTACCCCCACCCATTTTTCCCCGTGAAATCACGTGCTGAAATTTGTCGGAACCTGATTGGTCAGTTAAAAATCACGCTTGAGGCCCCAAGTGGTTTTCGGTTCCCTTGGCAATAGAAGTCGTCCTTTGAAAGGCTGATTCGAAGAAAAAGTTATTTGTTCTCGAAAATATTTTGTCGCCTAACCAAAGCTATAAATATTCAGAAATTAATTTTCTACCCTCTACTTCCATCAGTACAGGAGTTTCTGCTATTTGGAATGTCTTGGCCTTGTTTGGCGAATCAAACTTTTGATTTATCTTTAAATTATTTCCAGAAAAAAAAAAACCAAATGACTTATTCTTGTAGAATAAACAAAAATAGTTCCATTGACTTTAAAACAGCTGTAATTTGCGTTTCTGAAATGTAGTTTTGTCATGTAAATTGTGGCCAGGTGAAACAGAAAAGAAAGTTAATTACCATTGTAGCGGCTGCCTTTCGATCCACCGAGACTCGCTCACAGCAAGCTCTTCAAGTTGTTTCAATAGGAAAACCGCTACATACAAACTAACCAAACTCTCTAGACAACACAAAGCTCAATAACTGTAGAACTCGATACGATTTCCATCTTTTAGGTTACCAATCTCTTCAAAACTCCAAAACAAGTCTGTTAAGAGAAAACGCATAAATGGCCTCCTACAAGCATAGTTACTAACTGCTACAAACGAAGAAAAGCCCATTGTTTTACAACACAAAAGATAACTCAATTGACAAACATGAATTTTTTTTGAATCGTGCAAGTGATATTTCGGTTCCTTGAACTGGCATTTCAACACCAAAGAAGTCCGATTTTAGCTGTAACAGTTTTAGCAATAATTTCATTCACTGCCGCCGGAAAAAAAATTGACTGTATTCATTCAGCGCTCTAGAAATTTATTAAAGAAAGATAATTTTTGACTGGCAGTCATTAAATTAAACTCGTTGAATTAAAAATTCATATTTTTTGTGTTGAGAATCCCGCAAAACTATTGATATTGTGAGGGATCGCTAAAAGGCGAGCTCTTCACTTCAAGGTCAGTCGACGCCAAATAAAGGTCTGCATGCCTGGGCTTGTGAAAATGCTCGGCTCTAACGTGCTAATCGTGTCACATACTGCGAGTCTGTGAAAAACGTGGAA